GAGAGAGAGAGAGAGAGAGAGAGAGAGAGACGGAGGAGAGGGGACGGGGGTGAGAGTGCCGCGTACCAGCGACCATGTCCTGTCCGCTGGCATGCCTTCCTCACAGCGCAGGCCTTCGTTATGCCCGTCAGTAGTCCGCCTCACCCCCAACGCGCGCTCTCTCTCTCTCTCTCTCTCTCTCTCTCTCTCTCTCTCTCTCTCTCGCTCGCTCTCTCCCCCTCTCCCTCTGCTGCGATTTGTCCCATTCCGAATAATTAGACGTAATGATGATGCACAAGGCTTACGTCACTCTGGCGGACACCTGACACGCGTTCGCACGTACACACAGCCACACACAGGCGCATACAAACAAATACACACGCCGACACATACAAACATACATAGACACACACGAATGCCTACGGCCTCACACAACAGAAACATACGACACTGTCCAGTTAAATGCGCGCAAAAGTTAGGAATATTAAATAAAACTAGTTTTTGGTCTTATTTTTTAAACTGATTTAGCGAACTTCATGAACGCAAGGTGTAGCTCGTCACTTATAAATTATCTGTTATTTTGTTCTAACACCATCTCCAGGTCTTACCTCGCTCCGACGAGAAGCGCTGACCCCTCCCGCTGGAGGAGCTTGAAGTGGTCTCTATGGGACTCGTTGCCCTTGAACATCTGGATCTCGTCCTCAAGGCCTGAAACAGAAGAGCAGAACAGTCAGGAGAGTGCGGTATTCCTCGGTAACGTTCAGCAATGCTTAACCTACATGGGAAAAGGGAGCAGCGATAAATTTAAACGAAAACAAAACACAAAAACGAATTACTGCCTATAATTTATCAGATGCAGTCGAATTAACCGTTGAATGGCGTTGTTGTGAACTTATTGTAAGTGGAGGTCAGTTGTTGCACACTTGAGCGGCAACTTTAAACGCCATTTCCGTCTGGCCTGGCCACCGCCGCCTCCTTCACCCCTGACCCGCGCAAGTCAGCCTGCAGCCCTGCAACTTCTGCGATTGAACCCTAAAGTTGTCTCAGATTGAGGAGGGGGTCGGGGTGGGAGGGGGTCTGCACGGGGCAGCAGAGAGCAAACAAGGGAAAAGTTTTTCGCCGGAAGGGACGACTTGCTGCGCGACCCCGTGCGAAAGGCCAGCCGCCACACAGCGGTAGGGAAAGGGGTGAGGGGCGGGGCAGGGTGCTGCGGAAGGGTGAGTCGCGGGGGAGGGGGAGGGGGGGGGGCGACGTCAATATCGTTTGAGCTTTGCGAAAATTCTCAACCTCAGACACCAGACAACTCAAAATACAAGTTTATTTTCCATTTTTGGGTGATACACATTATCCCTCTTGCATTCTCCCCAACTCCCTCTCCTCTCCTTCTCGCTCGCACGTCCCATCGCCTTCCATCAGCTTGAGTTATTTATGTGTGGCCTCCTGTTCCCGCCCACGAGTGCCCCGAAGGGCTGTCCCCGAGGTGACACACACACACATGCAAATGTGGGGGGCTGGGGAGAGGAAAAATTCACCCAATAGAAGAGAGAGGGAGGAGAGACAAACAGAAACGCGGACCATCTTTCGAACGTAGCCCACAACCGCGGGGACTCCCCCAAACTTGTCCCACATATTTATATTTATTCTTGCTGTTATACGATCCGTGTGTTGGAGAGAGACAGCGACTTCCTCGACGCGCCGAGGAAAATACCTACATGTTTCGTTTGCAAAAACACAGCAGTAACGTGTCAAAAACTCTTTCCAGCACACTGCTTTTGTCAAACGAAACGAAAGAACACAAAACATGTCCAGCTTTTGGATTGGTACTTTCTCGAGAAGGCGACGGTGCTCACACTCGGCACGGCACAACAGTAATTGTCCTCCGACATTTATAGTGAATGGTGTGCAGTCGGTGATGCTTTACATTCCCTTTACCGAGCAACAGCAGGGAGTTGGTGAGGTAGTGAGGGGAGGGGTATCCGCCAGGGAGCCGTTTGAGTTTGGAAACAGCCCCTGCATCACGTCGCTGCGGTGCGGCAAATAGATAGATGCTTAGATAGACGAATAGATGGATGGATGGATGGATACTAAAGTGTTGAGTAAAAAGGCAGCCGAGTGCATCTATTGTACTTTACAGCAGGACTTGGCCTCTCTCTTTCTGCGAGCCCCCCCTACTAAACCCGGTCGCAGAGAAGCGCGCGGCGCTGCTCAGCCTGCTCAGCCGCGCGCGGAGAAAGAAAAAAAAAGTATACGAGGCATAAGAGAGATAAAAAAAAAAGAAGTTTTCAGCAGATCAGAGTCCATTAAAATTCTCAGTCGAGCGAAGAGCAGGCAGGAGGAGCGGCGGAAGGGCCTTTCTGTTGTCTTGCGATAAGTTCCGCGGCGGACGCCAGGGAATGACAGCTGCAAGTTGATAATCACATCAGCCCGCGCGCCCTTGTTCTGTCCGCCCGTCGGTCTGTCTCTGCTTGTCGGCCGGGTCCGGTCGTGGTGCGGGCCTCTCGGTGAGGCAACTTATTCTTTCCATGCTTTTTTATATTCGGCCGCACCATTGTTCCTTGCTGCCGCTGCCGCCCTGGTCCGCCGAGACAGGCGCCGCTGATATCAGCGAAGACAGGGGCAGCCCAAATAACGGCACAATGACTTCTTCCCCTTTTCTCCACCCCCCTCGCTCTCTCTCTTCTCCGGCAGGAGAACCCCCATCGTCCGACGATTTACGTCGACCGCCTTTCATTCCTCGTAAAAGCACCCACTTTTTATTTATTTTTCCATCGCGCCGTTTACTGCAAAATGCTGGCAAAAGCACATCTTCAATAC